CTTCAAGTTTCAATTATTATCTTTTTGTTGACTTGCCCTTATAATTATAATAAGTCTGCTTGTCTGAGTGTCTTAGCATATTCAATCAACAGGCATTTAACAATTTAATTATTTCCAGTAAACGAGTATGATTCATATGAATACAATTTATCTGTTTGTAAAGTCACACCTTTCTAAATTAATTATTTTTTCTAGCTTATTGTCCATAATAATAAAATTTTGTACAGCAAATAGAAAGAGCTGTCTTTAGAAAACGGCTGTCTTGTACAATGAATTGCTGTCTTGCCCAGCCTACGGCTGTATAGTATAGCTAAAGGCTGTGTAATTCAGCAAACGGCTGTTTTCAGCCAACAGCCGCACCTGTCAAACAGCCGCGCCTGTCCAACAGCCAACAGCCGAGCCTATGAAACAGCCAACAGCCTACTAACAAACAGCCAACAGCCGAGCCTGTTAAACAGCCTACAGCCAACGGCCTACTATCAAACAGCCAACAGCCGAGCCTGTCAAACAGCCAACAGCAGACGACTGTCGTCACTTAAAGCCCCCGAACCCTCCAGTGGATGAGTCATCGTGACCGGGTCAAGCTGACCTCACCTACCATGATAACACTGATTGAGCGTGGTTGTTGAATTTATGGCCCAGGCGGTGTTCCAGAAATGTGTCAGGCATTGTAGAAAAAATGTGTGTGTCTGTGTGTCCAATGTGGGGGAGGGGGTGACGCCGTGTGTATTAAAAAAAGGAGTGAATTAAAGTTTAATCCAGGCCGATCTCAAAGTTCAAGGAGTTGTTTCACTGGTTGACATTCACACGACAGGCAGGTGTGTGAATCTTGTGTGAATCTAATGGAGGAGTTGTATGAATCTATTGGAGAAGTTGTGTGAATCTATTGGATGAGTTGTGTGAAGTGTGAATCCAATGGAGGAGTTGTGTGAATCTATTGGAGGAGTTGTGTGAATTTAATGGAGGAGTTGTGTGAATCTTGTGTGACAGATGTGATTATTGTGACATTTGTATGAAAAGTGTGTCATTTGTGTGACATTTGTATGAAAAGTGTGACATTTGTGTGACATTTGTATGAAAAGTGTGACATTTGTGTGACATTTGTATGAAAATTGTGACATTTGTATGAAAAATATGACATTTTTGTGACATTTGTATGAAAAGTGTGACACTTGTGTGACATTTGTGACACGCGTGACCGTGACACTTATGTGACACCTACATCATCACACACATGACCCCATAGGGTAAACTAACGATAGTCATGCAGGTACAATTGTTAAATTAATCAACAAAACTAGGGCCTACATTTGAAAGTCTCAAGACAGTGGCAGTTGTCAGACATGAACAACAAAACTAGGCCTAGTTTGTTACTAGAATTGAAAGAAAATCGTCTTTTTCCTACCTTTTAAAAAAGAAAAAACTTTATCAGAGCTTAAAAAGTTACTTCAAGGAATAAACTTGGTAGGTGAAGTGGAGTTCAAATTTTTTTTTTTTTTTTTTACATCCTGAACATTTTGTCTGCTTTGTCTGTACGTAAGTTGATCGATATATTTAAACTTACTTATTTTAAAACGCATTCTTTTCAACAATTCTTTGGTAGAGAGGTCGTATAAATAAAGTTTATTTTAACGACACTAGAAGGGCTGAGATACAGGTTTTACCTGTGAGGGACCGGTGAGTTACTGTATACGAGGCCTAAGAAGATAATAGTTGAAGCTGAAATGACCAAAGGCAATTTTAACACATTTGGTCTCCCCCCCCCCTCTCCATCTCAAAACATCGTCACAAAAACAAACCGCCTCTAAAATAGCGCAACAATGTTTCACCTTGCTCAAAAAAAAAAAATCACGATTCGAACGAAAAAAACTATTCGAACGAATGCTAAATGTAATTTAGGTCAGATTTCTTAAAGGGTCTTACACACACTGTACGCCGGTACTAAAACCAACTACAACCTACTTCCCCACTATATGGTTTAGTGGCTTCTAAAAGCACTGTAAATTAAATATAAAAGGCTTTTATAGAAGACTAGGCATGCTGCCCAGCTTCGCTTAGGCTTTCGAAAACATTGAGAATTTGAATGCTTAATTAATTCGCCCGAAGGTCGGTCTACGACCTCAAGAGTTATGAAGAGGTTCCTCCGTGGACATTTTTTTTCGATTTATAGCTCATATAAGGTACCGGTCAGTCAAGGTCAGTTTTGACCCCCACATCGTAGACTTTTCGGCCAACCGGCCCCCGTGTTCTGTCGCACCAAGGCAAGATCATGCCAAATTTGAAGCGCCTGCGGCGCCGGGAAGTGCCCTATCGGACACCCGACAATCTAGATCTAGAGCTAGATTCCTAAAAGAATTTTTTTTTAAAGTTTAGCCCGAGCATAATAAAAAAGCTGACTTGCTGTGTCTCGAACCCGCATCACCTGCGTGGTTTAATGTACACTAACATCTCCGCTATTTAGGCAACTTATAAAATACGGAGAATGAAAGACGTATTTTAAAATCTTAACTTACGCGAATATGCCTATTCTTTCAAATTAATTTTTTATCCCAAATTAGCCAGTTCATAACAAAGATTTTGTATAAAATAAATAAGTCTTGAAATAGTTTAGTCCTAATATAGAAATTTATTTTTGGAATTGATTTTAGAGAAGTTAGAGTCTAAATCTAGATCTTAGCGTCTACGTCTAGATCTAGTTATTGCTTAGATTTAGATTTAGATTTAGTCTAGATCTAGAATCTCTAGATCTAGAATCCAAATACATAAAATAGATTTTATGAGTTTAGGCCGGAAAAATTGTATTGTATACATTTCATAGTGTACGTAGATCTAAATCAAATTTGAATGAAATAGTTCATTTCTTTTTATTCAAAACACAGCAGATGACGTCATTAGTTAATGTATAAGCAATAGCGACGTCACAGTTTTATGCGTTCTTTTTCACATGTATTAATGCTTTTCCGGTTGCATAAATAATACTGTTTCTCTACATTCGAATACGCCTTTAATTTTTATTTTTCTTCTTTAAGTAAAATTGTGGTTATACATTTAAAACATCTAACATATTATTTTCAACAAAAGTCCGTAAAAAGTTCTCCATATACCGCTGCCGATTCTGACGTGATGTCCGGCGAAAATTTTTTGCGGACAGAGAAAGAGAGAGAGAGAGAGATGTGCGAACGTGGGGATTTATATATTAGGATTAGAAGATTAAAAAACAAATAGCTGTAAAAGACATGAAATAAGTGAAGAAGAAAACCTAAAGAGAGCATTTGACCTTGCTACCAACATTTGTCACAAAAAGCCAGACTAAATTTACAGTTTCCCCGAACACCAAATTAAAAATTTTCCGGAAAACCCAACCTAATATAGTCCCGATACCCTAAAGCAGGGGTCGGCAACCTGCGGCTCGCGAGCCGCATGCGGCTCTTTTGATATGAAGGTGCGGCTCTCCAGCTCCTTGCACAAATACTAATAATCTTAATCAAAAAATAAAATATTTGAAATAAAAAAATGTTAGTGGCTCTTTAAAACCAGGGAAATTTTGAAAATTGTAACTTTTGGCTCTTCCGCTTCAAAAGGTTGCCGACCCCTGCCCTAAAGTCATATTTTTCCGACACACCAATTATACATTTCAAGACACACCAAACTCCTATTTTTCATACACGCTAAATTAACATATTTCCGACACACCAAATCATGTTCCCGACACACCAAATCATGTTCCCGACACACCAAATCATGTTCCCGACACACCTAATCCTGCTCCCGACACAACAAAATTCACATTTTATTTCCAAACTCATATTTTGCCGACACACCATACTCACATTTTCCCGACACACCAAATATACATTTCAAGACACACTGAGTTCACATTTTCCCGACAGACCAAACTCACATTCCCCGACATTGACATGTTCCCACAACACACACCACAATACGACTGAGCACAAATCACACCAAACACAAACACAACATGTTTTCGATGAAGCTCAGGTTCCTCAGACCACAACATGACACGCGGCTATAAAATAAACACATCCTACAATAAACAGTCAAGGACCATGTTTATTTTTAAAACAAAATCTATTTCCTCTACATTGTCAAAATGTGCAGGTTCTATTTACATAACAATAAAAAGTACAAATAAAAATGGTTGATAGGAGAAACATCATGTAAAATAAAATATTTACGATAATTATTTTCTCATTAGTAGAATGAAACCAAATGCCATTGGGTAGGCCTACATCCGGTATAGAGTGGTCTTATAGGTAAAATATTCAGTGAATGAGTTTCAAGCAATAACAGGGCCATAAAATATTTCTATAAGTAGACCTATTTCAAAAAGATGAATTTCATTTATGTCTTCCCAACACTAGTCCTTTAAGTAGTGTACCTAAAATCTGTTTATAAGTTCTATATTTTTTTTTAGATATTCTCCTTAGTAGTTTTTTTATTTGTCTACGTAAAACATTTTTAAATATCTACTAAAATATCTAAAAGTAGTTCTCTGTTCAGTTTAAAAAAAATATCTTTCCTAAAATTTCACAGTTTTCTTTAAAAATCTCAGTAGCGCTTTTAAATACACCACAAACTAAAGTCTAGAAGTAATTCTTTAATATTGCTAAAACAGCATATTTTACACAATTACATTCTTTCTAACTAATGTCCGTGTAGATCTTGCAGCTATTGCATGTCCCAAATCTTGCGAGTCCTCTACCTTGCATGTCCTCCATCCTTCATGTCCTCTACCTTGTATGTCCTTCATCTTTTATGTCCTCTATCGTGCATGTCCTCCACCTTTTATGTCCTCTACCTTGCATGTCCTCCATCTTTCGTCCTCTACTTTGCATGTCCTCCATTTTTCATGTCCTCTACGCTTCATGTCCTCTAACTTTCATGTCCTCCATCTTTCATGTCCTCTACTTTGCATGTCCTTGATTTTTCATGTCTTCTATCTTGCTTGTCCTTCACCTTGCAAGTCCTCCATTTTTCATGTCCTCCATTTTTCATGTCCTCTACGCTACATGTCCTCTACCTTGCTTGTCCTTCACCTTGCATGTCCTCCATCTTTAATGTCCTCTAACTTGCATGTCCTCTACCCTTCATGTCTACGCTTCATGTCCTCTACCTTGCACGTCCTCCATCTTTCATGTCCTCTACCTTTCATGTCCTCTCCCGTCTATAGCACCCCCTCCCTCTCACATGCTCTCCAATCAGGCTGGACAAAGGCGTGGTGTCTGCAGTCCTCCAGCCAATAGGTGGGGATGGGCGTGTCTTTACCCTGGTGATCAGAAGCCACAACAATATATCTTATGAACAAAGCCCATATACAGACTTACAAATTGAAGCTAAGGGTTCTTTATGTATGTAAGCCCTGCTAGGGGGGGATACCTAAAATCTATCCTTCTAGGCTTATCTAACTAAATACTGTCCGGGTCAGTGCAACCGTGGTGAAACCCACGGTGGTTATATCTTACCCTTAGTCTAAATAAAAAAACTACTAAAATAAAACAAAACTTTAGCAATATAATAAAATTTATTTAACAAAAAATATGGAACCAAGCTTATAAAAAAACTAGAATCTAGGTAAAACAGAACACTGGAGACATACAAAACAAACAGAACTCAACGGAACAAAACACCCAATTTCGGACCACCGTCCATACACCACATAAATGTGACACCGAAACACTTCAACACACAGGCCTCGACATCCTCAATGTCCCTCCCTGTCCACACACTACATTCGCGAACAAAATAACCAATACTACGCACAGGGAAATAGTCCCTAACACAACAATAACTAACATTCAGGACATCATAAAGCAAAGTGGAGCCACACTCCAAAACAAAGTTCGCATAAATAATAACATCAAAATATAAAGAAGACACAATAACTAGGCTATAAACCATTTTTAAAATCAAAATCATATCAGCGCCATAATAGCGGACTACTTAACTAAAAACCACAACAATCCTCAAAGGAACACAAAAAGCGACATTCGCCTTCTTAGTTACAAATAATTATAATAACAGATAAACACACTCCAGCCGCTCACATGTAGAAATGGGCTAAGCCATACTTTAACAATAAAAGCTAAAGTTAAAATATTTAAAGAAAAAAAAACACACCAAAAAACAAAACAAAACGTGTATTATTATATTGCTCAGAATATTAAAAAAATATCGCTACTTAGCCCTAACGCCTAGCACTAAACTTAACTCTGACTATAACCCCAATACTAACATTACCAGCGCTAATTATCATCACGGCGATTCAGACGGAGACGTATATTTGATTGTCACTGCCTTGCGGTGAAAATAAAAATAAATAAATAAATAAATAAATAAAATTAAGTTTCTTAAATTTTGTTGGTATCTTACGTCATCCCTTCAACACAAAATCTAACCCATACCCTGACAGTAACTCACTTAACGTAAGACCGTTGTTTTAGGGGTCCATTTGGAAAACGTGGTGAACTATACCTCCCTTTCACCCCCTGCCAACGCCACTGGGGTCCACAAGGGGCACATTACATTACCTTAATGGAAATGAGCCCTCGGTAAGTCATATGAAACCCTCCAGCCGCATCAAGCTCTCTCTTTATCGCCTCACTCAAGTGGATCCGTAGCGCTGTTTTAGGGGAAATAACTCAATAATTTAAAAAATACGGTTTTATAAAATTGAATGTTGCATTAGAAATAAACGGGAAATTTATAACTATTAAACCCCATGTTAAATTATAAAGCCTATTTCATGGAAAAACTGAATGTTACATCGGCTAAAGTCTAGACAACATAAGAAAACAAACAAACAAACAAAATATATAAAGACGAATAAGTGAAACTTAAAAAAGTAAATGTCGCATCAATGAACATGTATGGATAATAAAGAAAAGAATGATCTTATGAAGTGAGGCACGAATAAATGAAGTGAAAAGATTTAAATTGTAATGAAGCATGGGGCCGTGAAGTAGACCGTGACCACAAGCAGAGTTTCTTCCATGCATCTCTTCGGGGTGGGGGGGGGGAGGGCGGAGCCCCCCCCCCCGAAGAAAGTCTACCGCCCCCCCCCGAACGAAATGAAATTTATATAAAAATATATACTTTTAACAATGTTCGCCCCCCCCCCCCACAAGAAAGTCTACCGCCCCCCCCCCCCCCCCCGAAAATTTCAAGTGCGCCCCCCGGAGAAAAAAAGTCTGGAAGAAACACTGATCACAAGAAAGTTTAAGCATATTTCAATTAGCCTAACTTGAAGCAGAGACCAATAAAAGTATGAACCAATGAGAAGGCTGACTGAAACCCACGTGACTTACGTTGACCATTAGATTCCATCCTTGAGGCGATGTTGACCGTGTCGCCATACAGGCAGTACCTCGGCATTTTCTCACCCACGATGCCAGCAACTACAGGACCTGGGAGAGGGCGGAGGGGGGAAGGAGGTTAAGCTTGAGTACTCACGTCTGTAACATGTCAGTAGCATATCTGTCACCTACCTGTCACTCATTTCCTTGTCATTTACCTATCAACCTAGGGGAGAGGTTTAGCTTGAGTACTCACGTCTGTTACATGTCAGTAGCATACCTGTCACCTACCTGTCACTCACCTCCTTGTCATTTACCTATCAACCTAGGGGAGAGGTTTAGCTTGAGTACTCACGTCTGTAACATGTCAGTAGCATACCTGTCACCTACCTGTCACTCACCTCCTTGTCATTTACCTATCAACCTAGGGGAGAGGTTTAGCTTGAGTACTCACGTCTGTAACATGTCAGTAGCATACCTGTCACCTACCTGTCACTCACCTCCTTGTCATTTACCTATCAACCTAGGGGAGAGGTTTAGCTTGAGTACTCACGTCTGTTACATGTCAGTAGCATACCTGTCACCTACCTGTCACTCACCTACCTGTCAACAGGGATTAGAGGTTAAGCTCTTGTAGGCCTACTCACGTGTCTAGCCGAGTTACCTACTTGTCATTCAGAGGAGTATGACATTACCCTCTGCCAACGCCCCCCCCCCCCCACCCCCCTTCGATCATTACCTTCCAGATCAATTACCCCTTGTACATTACAACGCCTAAAATAGGCCTAAAAGTAGGACATTACCCCTGTCAATTACAAATTAACCATAACCTTAACCGTTATGTATTGTAAGGGCTAGGAAGGGATATTTTCTCATTGAGTATTTCTTATGTATTCTTTAGTCCTTTAACTTCTAAATATTCTGCATGTTTATCGCCACTATAATATCTACAATATTTATAACTTTCCTCTACACGAAGCTTCCACTTCTGCAAATATTTTGCTTCATAGGATTTTAAAAGTTTCACGAAATTAACACATAACAAATAATGATGATTACATAATTATAGCTTGTAAAAAAACCCAACTAAAAACAACAGGAAACATATAAAGGAGAATTAAAAACAACGACAAAAGACAACAATAATTGTATTTATCAATTCGATTGTTTTCATTATGATTGAACGTATTCTATGAATAATCATAAAGATAGATTGATTTTAAATTACCATTGTTTAACTTTAGACACACACGCACTTCGAGTGTGAATAAAGTGAGATAACAGTGTTAGCTTCAATGCTAACTTATTTTACATTGTTATTTCCCCTTATTCAAATTTTTTTTTAAAGGTTAGAGAAGGGTGTTAATTCTAGTCGCAGACCAGAATAAAATCAAGCTTACCCGAATATACTCTACATCAGAGGCGTAGCGACCCTTCCCGGCGCCCGGGGACAAACGTTCGATTTGCACCCCCCCCCCCCCCTGAAACTTTCGATTTGCACCCCCACTCAAACTTTCGATTGCACCACGCCCCTCAAACTTTTCAATTTGTTTTTCAAACCCATTTTGCCCCCCCCCCCCCCCCTTAAGGTCGGCTCACGAGGGCATATGTCCCCCCCCCCCCCCCCCCCGCCCCCCCCCCGCTACGCCTCTGCTCTACATACATGTCAGTTGATGTCAGTCACCTACCTGTTATTAGCCTGTCATTTACCCATCTGTCAGTTGCCTGTCATTCACCATCCTGTTGGTTGCTTATCACTTACTTCCCTGTCATTTGCCTGTCAGCTTCTATTAGCCACCTACCTGTCAGGCACATAACTGTCAGCCACCTGTCAGCCACCTACCTGAGTTCAAGCCAATCCTCAACTTCAGAGACTGGCTAGACTTGACACCTGTAGAGTCCACATACGGAGCCCTGACATCGACACTTATACTCAACAGATTTAGCGCCATGTGTGCGATCTGTTCTGCGTGGTTCGGGATTTGTTCGGGAATTCCCGCGGCCACCATGTAGGCATCGCCGATAGTCTCCACCTTTGAGGGAAATCCCGTTTTATATTTAGCTGCTGCAAATTTTCTAACTTCACCATTTAAGGCAGTGTTAATTTAAAATATTTTTTTAGCGCAATTTCCATACTGGCAAATCGCGTTTAATAATGCGTCATTTCTGGATGGATGGATGGATGTATGGATGTGTGGATGTGTGTCCGCAGCCTTTAAGTCGTATCTCCTCCTCAACGAAGCAATATCGAGGACTAGTTCCAAAGCAAATATGTTAAGCAAGTTCCAAGGATGATTGTGGGCCAAAAAAATTCCCGGAATTCCTTCCTGGATTTCCCGGAAAAGCCAAAAAACCTCGAACAAATGCAGTTTTTGCTCCATATCTCGGCAACCAGACCACTTAGCGACTTGAAACATTTACCAATCGATTCCTGCCATAATTTAGACCAATATTGCCAAAGAAAGTTTTCAAAAATATCCTTTCGTTCGGTCACTAAAATTTTTTTTAAATTATTTAAACTGAGCATCTTGTAGGCCTAGTTTTTTTTATTAACTGAGCATCGTGTAGGAGTTTATATTTAAAGGATGATATTTACAAAAAATAAAAAATAAAAAAATTGTTATGGATAACATAAGGAAATTGCGCTTAAATTGTCACTAGACTTTTTATTAACTTGTTTTATTAAGATTTCATTAAAAAAATGTGAAAAAAATATATGGTTAAAAGTAATGAAAAATTAACTAACCCCCCCCCCCCACCCCCCACCAAACACCAAAAAATACGCATTATCCACCAGAGCAAAACTACAACTAACAGTCAAATAACACACATCCTTTAGTTTTCTAAATAGTCTTGAAGTTGAATGCCCCGAGTTTTAAATTCTGAATCAGATTTGTTTAGATGGGTATGACCCAACAAATTGTGAAGTAATGGTACACGTGAACTTTAGCTTACAACATTTTTTTACAAGGAAGGTGGTCAGATTAATCAATGCAGATAAGGGTCAAGGCTGCACGTAGGATTATAATAGTAGGGCGATTATTGAGACCAGTGTTAAAATAGCGACACCCCACACCCCCTGTAAATAACGACACCCCACACCCCCTGTAAATAACGATGCCCTACACCACCTGTAAATAACGACACCCCACACCAAATGTAAATGACGACACCCCACACCCCCTGTAAATAACGACACCCCACACCCCCTGTAAATAACCATACCCTACACCACCTGTAAATAACGACACCCCACACCAAATGTAAATGACGACACCCCACACCAAATGTAAATAACGACACCCCACACCCCCTGTAAATAATGACACCCCACACCCCCTGTAAATAACGGCGCCACACACCCCCTGTAAATAACGGCGCCCCACACCACCTGTAAATAACGACACCCCACACCACCTGTAAATAATGACACCCCACACCAAATGTAAATGACGACACCCCACACCCCCTGTAAATAACGACACCCCACACCACCTGTAAATAACGACACCCCACACCAAATGTAAATAACGGCGCCCCACACCACCTGTAAATAACGACACCCCACACCCCCTGTAAATAACGACGCCCCACACCACCTGTAAATAGCGACACCCCACACCCCCTGTAAATAACGACGCCCCACACCACCTGTAAATAGCGACACGTTACACCACCTGTAAATAACGACGCCCCACACCACCTGTAAATAGCGACACGTTACACCACCTGTAAATAATGACTACCCTGTGGTGGGGGATGATTCCAATTATCTTTCTATCAGAAATGTCTGGTAGCGCTTTACCTATCACTGTCAAAGACAACAGCACCACTCACCTTGTACACCTGGTAGCTGTTGAGTACCAGATCAAATCTCGTGTACAGGTCATTGAGAAAGTTCAGGACCTGAAAAAAAACCACACATTAGGAGATTATGTCTCTACAAGAAAATTACAAGAGCAATATTTCCAGAAAGGATAATATAATATTTGAAAAAATATGATAGTAATAATAGTGCAAATTTTGAATTGTAAATAATGTAACATAATGAACAAAACGATTATATATGACTGATTGTTATGAGATAAGAAACTGAATTCTTGTAATAAGATAAGGATATGACTTTTTGTGGGGAGATAGTGAGATAAGGAACTGACCACTTGAGGTGAGATAAGGAACTGACCTCATGTGGTGAGATAAGGAACTGACCTCTTGTAGTGAGATAAGGAACTGACCTTTTGTGGTGAGATAAGGAACTGACCTCTTGTGGTGAGATAAGGAACTGACCTCTTGTGGTGAGATAAGGAACTGACCTCTTGTAGTGAGATAAGGAACTGACCTCATGTGGTAAGATAAGGAACTGACCTCTTGTGGTGAGATAAGGAACTGACCTCTTGTGGTGAGATAAGGAACTGACCTCTTGTGGTGAGATAAGGAACTGACCTCTTGTGGTGAGATAAGGAACTGACCTCTTGTGGTGAGATAAGGAACTGACCTCTTGCGGTGAGACCATCCCACAGATGGTGGTGAAGCCCACGATGTCGCTGAAGAAGATGCTGACGTTGGGGAAAGATTCGGCTGGAACCTTCTCACCAGAGACCAGCAAGTTGATGTATTTTCTGGGGAACCAAGTGCATCAACATAGCACGTAATGAGGGGTATAACCATTGGACTATCGTTGTGTGGCGGTACAGTTATACTATGGTCGTGTGATGGTACACTTGGAGTATTTGATGGTACAGTTATACTATGGTTATGTGATGGTACAGTTGGACTATGGTCGTGTGATGGTACACTTGGAGTATTTGATGGTACAGTTATACTATGGTTATGTGATGGTACAGTTGGACTATGTTCGTGTACTGTCAAAGTTTCGCTTGACCATCTTAGAAGTTTGCATTGCAGCTCGTTATTGCAGCGTTAGTTTCTATACGTGTTATTTTTTTTTTGAAACAGGAGTCACACGTTTAAGCTGTCGGCTGTGCTCTCCAAACAACGGGTCACATTGACATGTTGTTCTATCAACTTTCAACAGTTGAATCAGACCAAAATATTTTCCTGCGATTTCAACAGCGAGCCGCACTTAACTTTGTCTGAGTGCAAAATGAACATGTTGTTCAGACTGGGTATCGGCTTTATTGATTTTCAGCCAATGTTTTTCTGCTGTTAAAATATTTACCTGTTTGTTCATAGGCCTAGTCGTGAAAGCATCATTTTGTGCTTCAGTTCATTATAGTTTCTAAAACGTGTGTTGGTTATCATGCTTATGTTTGTTAAAATGTTTAAGCGATCACTATAGCCTTGTTAGATACGTGTTGGTTCAATAAGAGTAATATGTAGCACACTCACTGAGGGATGACCTCACAGAGGACCCTCAAGTACTTGACCTTCTCCTCCTCCAGCCTCCGTGTCCTCTCCTTGACCGTCTGCTCCAGCTGCTCGCCGTACTTGTGCATGATCTGTTCGATCTTGTCTGAGACTGACCTGACAGGTGCAATACAGGTGTGTACAGGTAGGTTTATACAGGTGTGTACAGGTATGTTTTATACAGGTGTGTAAGGTAAGTTTTATACAGGTGTGTACAGGTAAATTTTATGCAGGTGTATATGTTAGTTTATACAGGTGTGTACAGGTAAGTTTTATACAGGTGTACAGGTAGGTTTATACAGGTGTACAGGTAGGTTTTATACAGGTGGACAGGTAGGTTTATACAGGTGTACACAGGTAAGTTTTATACAGGTGTACAGGTAGGTTTATACAGGTGTACACAGGTAAGTTTTATACAGGTGTACAGGTAGGTTTATACAGGTGTACATGTAAGTTTATATAGATGTGTACAGGTAAGTTTTATACAGGTGTGTACAGTTTAAGTTTCACAGCTATACACATGTAAGTTACATACAGTTATAAACATGTAAGTTTCATACAGGTGTACACAAGTAAGTTACATACTGCTATACACATGTAAGTTTTATACAGGTGTACACATGTAAGTTTCATACAGGTGTACACAGGGAAATTTGATACAACCGACTGATTTTGATCTGACACACACTGATAAACACACAATTTTTGGTGATTTAACCCCCAACTCCATAAAAACATCAGAATTCCCTCTTTAATTTACCTTCACAGAGTTTTAGCCTCGCCCTACCACGAATTTAAACATTAGTTTACACAGCCACTCTCGTATTTTTCTTAGAATAAGCAACTCATTTTGGACATGAAATTCTTCATTTCTCTTTACCCCCACATCGAACTGAAGTAAAACTAGTATATAAACCCCTTCTCCCCTAATATGTACAATGTCATTTATGGATGACCACCTTACCCCCCTTTCGTCCAATGTCCAAATCTTCTGACAATCTCTTCTGCCGTGGGTCTCGTGTTCGGATCTTCTGACCAACATGCACACATCAGCTTGACCATTCGCACCTCCTGATCGTTCGCCTTTGATACAGCGTCTTGATTAAAGCTGATACAGAATAATGTAAAGCAGACATCTACAGTTGCTATGGTAAAAACATGATAGTAAAATATCAAATTCACAACATGTGCTAATTCAGACCAATCAGAAGCAGCCTCTTACCTAAAGTTGCTTCGCGGTACATCTAAGAAATGGTTTGATTGGCCCTCGTTGTAACTATCATTTTTAGAGAAGTTTCCTGGCTGTGGAATTTCCGGTCGGAAGACACAGCGACCGGAAGCGGTGTGTCTAGCCGGGGAAGCCTCGCTTTCAGCACCAGGGTCAGGGGGAACCACTCTCTTGTTCCAACAAATTTGAAAACCGTGCTTGTTGTTTGAGGGACTGAGTGTCTTTAATGGAAAAACTGCAATAAAAACGTGCAAGTAAAAACGAAATTGTAACTAAGAACTACAATACAAATTAATTCTCTTTGAGTCTTTCCGTCTTTCTGATTATCTCTCCCCTTACCTCTTCTCTCTCTCTCTTTCTCGAGGGGGGGGGGGGGAGAGCACTTGACTTGATATTTTCAGGGCAGCGGACTACATTTTCCGGGGGGGGGGGGCGGACACTAGTTAATATATGTTTTCTATATAAATTTTATTTCGTTCGGGGGGGGGGGGGGGGGGAGGAGGGGTAGACTTGAAGAAGAGATGCCTGGAAGAAACTCTGCATGTAATTATAAGGAATTTTAAAAGATATTTGTCTTACCTGAGTTAAATTTTAGTTTCTTCGCACTTTTGTCTTGCATTAGGCTGAAACGTCAAATCATAATTGACTTATTTAAAAAAAACAATTTACTTTATTTTTACTTATGTTATCATCTATATAAAAATCTATCATGACGTTTAACATAGATTCTTGTACTAACTGTTTCTCCCTGCCGCTCCACACACTGTGTCTGCCCGATTCAAAGTCTTCGTAGGGGTACGCATGTTCTGACTGGCTGTTGATGTTACTCGCGGTGAAGACGGAATCGTGTCGGTTGTCTTGAAGCTCAGCAAACTTCTCTGGGTGTCTCACAAAGTTGATCACCTCTGAAATACAACCCGTAGTCACTTTAAGAAAACAGAAGAGCAAACTAACATGATACCGTTTTTAACTGTAAGTAGTTTTTTAACCATCCTCATCCAGTCCGTCTCCTTACCTTTCCTCTCCGGCTCCTTACTTTTCTAATCCGGCTCTTTAACTATCTAGTCCGGCGTCCTTCCAATATATTCCGGCTCCTTCCCATTCCTCTCCGGCTCCTTATTTTTCTAATCCGGCTCTTTAACTATCTAGTCCGGCGTCCTTCCAATATATTCCGGCTTCTTACCTTTCCAATCCGGCTCCCGTCCCGTCTTAAGATGGTCCTCAGTACAGTAAGGTTTCCTCTTGAAGAAAATCTCGTAGAGAATTATCCCATAGGCGTAGATGTCACCTTTCTGGGTTCCAGGTCTTGGGGCAGTCCTCAGGTGTTCTGGTGCCGTCCATACTTGTTCTAGGGGAGAAAAGACAACATAAATCCTAGCGTCCATTGGTACACAATTCCTAGCGTCCATTGTCCCACAATTCCTAGCGTCCATTGTTACACAACGCAATTCCTAGCGTCCATTATTCCACACACACCGTGTTCACTTTATGTTGCAGTTCAAATTTCAGTCTTCACAGAGGACAAGTACAAACACTAGAGTATAATCTGCTGAAAATGTTATTAGATTTGTTGTGCCAAATAATTCTCATAAGGCATAGGGACGATAAACAGATTTTTGTTTTTCTTTTAGAGAAAGCTGATAAGACTGTTCTCAACTAAGTTTGGTAAGTTTCATGCTATTTAAATATTTTAAATTAATTTGTGTTTTAAATGTGTTTTTATCACCATTGACTAGGACTGACTAGCACATAAATATCCGTTTTACTTACGGAACCATAACTCCGGGTCTGCTTCTGTTAAGATTGTTGTCTCCCCTTCTCTAAACCTGGGCGTGTCAATGTCCGTGAGTTTACACACCAGACCACTGTCCACCAGCACGTTGGAAGATTTCAGCCGTCCATGGACGGTAAGATCAGAGTTATGTAAGTAGGCCAGACCCTGGGACAGACAGACAAGTGGTTAAACTATGATGTGAGGCAGACAGACAAGTGGTTAAACTATGTGTGAGACAGACAGACAAGTGGTTAAACTATGATGTGAGGAAGACAGCAGACAAACAAGTGGTTAAACTATGATGTGAGACAGACAACAGACAGACAAGTGGTTAAACTATGATGCGAGACAGACAACAGACAGACAAGTGGTTAAACTATGATGTGAGACAGACAACAGACAGACAAGTGGTTAAACTATGATGTGAGACAGACAACAGACAGACAAGTGGTTAAACTATGTGTGAGACAGACAGACAAGTGGTTAAACTATGTGTGAGGCAGACAGACAAGTGGTTAAACTATGATGTGAGGCAGACAGACAGACAAGTGGTTAAAATATGATGTGAGGCAGACAGCAGACAAACAAGTGGTTAAACTATGATGTGAGGAAGACAGCAGACAAACTGTCAAACCAGACCGTGGAACAGACAGCAGACACACAGCGACACAGCAGACATTTGGTTAAGCCTCGGTCGGAGGGCAGACAAAAGGTGAACTAAAGACAGAAATTGGATCTCATCTGCAGACGCAAGTAAGTTGGTTTTATAGGCACACCATAGCGAAACCGTGGGCAAATGACAACTGAGACAGAGTTTCAATTTAAAAGTCTGAATGTTGCTGAGTATGTGTGTGTGTGTAAAAGTGCATGTGTTATATGTATGTGTTTGTGTATATGTATGTAATGTGTCTATGTGTGTACATATTTGTGTGTTGCCCCCCCCCCCCCTTCCCCCCTCGCCTCCCGACTCACCCTGAGCAAAAGACAACTGAAAAATAAATTCCATCTGAAAGTTGCCCGAGTGTATGTCTGTGTGTCTGTGTGTATGTCTGTGTGTATGTCTGTGTGTGTGTCTGTGTGTATGTCTGTGTGTATGTCTGTGTGTGTGTCACCCACTCAACCTGGCAATATCCTGAGCAAAAGACAACTGAAAAATAAATTCCATCTGAAAGTTGCCCGAGTGTATGTGTGTGTGTATGTCTGTGTGTGTGTCTGTGTGTATGTCTGTGTGTATGTCTCTGTGTGTGTCACCCACTCATCCAGGCAATATCCTGAGCAAAAGACAACTGAAAAATAAATTCCATCTGAAAGTTGCCCGAGTGTATGTGTGTGTGTATGTCTGTGTGTGTGTATGTCTGTGTGTGTATGTCACCAACTCACCCTGGCAATATCCTGAGCAAAAGACAACTGAAAAATAAATTCCATCTGAAAGTTGCCCTAGTGTATGTGTGTGTGTATGTCTGTGTGTGTGTATGTCTGTGTGTGTATGTCACCAACTCACCCTAGCAATATCCTGAGCAAAAGACAACTGAAAAATAAATTCCATCTGAAAGTTGCCCGAGTGTATGTGTGTCCCTGTGTGTATGTCTGTGTGTATGTCTGTCTGTGTGTGTGTCATCAACTCACCCTGGCAATATCCTGAGCAAAAGACAACTGAAAAATAAATTCCATCTGAAAGTTGCCCGAGCGTATGTGTGCGTCTGTGTATGTCTGTGTGTGTGTCTGTGTGTGTGTATGTCACCAACTCACCCTAGCAATATCCTGAGCAAAAGACTATTGAAAAAAAAATTCCATCTGAAAGTTGCCCAAGTGTATGTGTGTGTGTGTATGTGTATGTATGTCTCTGTGTGTGTGTCACTAACTCACCCTAGCAATATCCTGAGCAAAAGACAACTGAAAAATAAATTCCATCTGAAAGTTGCCCGAGTGTATGAGGTCCATGAGACTCCCCTTAGAGCTGTAGGACCAGACCAAGCAGACGTGCTCTGGCTGCAGACAAGCTCCAACAAACGTGTTGATGTTCTGGTGCTTCAGACTCCGCACCTACGGTTGAAGCACACGATTACTGACATTATTAAACTACATATCAGATAAGAGTATAGCAGGAACGGCCGATAATTTGCAACGTTCCTTTTTCATTAAACTCCAAATAATCGGGTTCCAAACTTACTGCGTTTTCCTCAGAAGCGTAGCGACCCTTCCCGGCGCCCGGGGACAAACTTTTCGATTTGCACCCCCTCTCAAGATTCCGATTTGTACCCCCATCAAACTTTCGATTTGCACCCCACCCCCTAAAGATTTCGATTTGCACCCCCCCTCTCAAACTTTCGATTTGCACCCCACCCCCTCAAGATTTCGATTTGCACCCCCCTCTCAAACTTTCGATTTGCACCCCACCCCCTCAAGATTTCGATTTGCACCCCCCCTCTCAAACTTTCGATTTGCACCCCCCTCAAGATTTTGATTTGCACCCCCCTCTCAAACTTTCAATTTGCAGCCCCCTCAACATTTCAATTTATTTTTCCAACCCATTTTGGCGCCCCCTAAGGTCGGCTACGCTACTGGTTTTCCTTGAAAACCTAAAAAATTTCTTGGAGTGCCCACAATCCCGTCATATGTAATATATGCTTATATCTTTCACATAAAATATGCAAAGTATTCTAACCGTAAAACTTATGGGCAGATGCTGGGTTTAGTGAAATACCAGGTTTAACATTTCGAAAAGCATCAAGGCAAGGAGAGCATACCCCTGCTGGGTGGTCGATGCACTGCTAACGGTATCCTGGGTAGACAATTCGTTTGGTACCACTTTTTCAAATTATGATAATTTAGTGTTTGGCATATTAATTAAGTAATACTTAAATTTCAATATAAATAAAGTGTTAGCTTTGGATCTAGTCAACAAAGCCTGAATCAAAAGGGAATGCCTTATCCAACCAACCTCTATGAAATGAATTTCATCATTTATAATAAACTTTCTAATATTTTAAAGTTCAGTGTTAATAAAACGAATAGCCTTCAATTTTAGAATGGAAGTTATCAAAAAAAATGAATAAAACCACAAAGTTTTATATCTAATATTTAAATATAATGTTTTTAAAATAAAAAAGCAATGATCCTTTTTAAATACTTTTTAAAAATTGAATTACTCCTTATTTCTAACGACATTTGAGAAAGTTGTTATCGGTTGTTTCCCTTGGTTTTTCATCCATTTAAAATAACGCACACACTTTTTTAAAAACAACTGTTTCTGACTTCATATTCTGTCTAAATATATTAAACACATATGCAATGAAATATAATATTAATTATCAAATATATATTATGAATATGAAGGCTTTTTGACTTTATACGAACATTTGAGGTATCTTTTATTGTGATTGTTGAATTTAATGCAAAAAAAAAAAAAAACAACAAAAAACGCATACAATTATTTTGTCGTTGAGAGAATAATACACATATGTTTTAATAGCCAACTAGTTAATTATTTGCATTCCAGCTGAAAATAAACTTTTCGCTTAAATGTGACATTTTTACTGGCAGCAGTTCTGGCACTGTATGACAATCTACAGCCCGTAAATAAATGTTAAAAGTTTACATTCATCACGTTACTTCTGATCACGGGCGTAGCCAGGGGGGTGGGTGCGGACCGCACCGGGTGACACCGTTTAGGGGGGGGGGGGTGACACCAAGGCAAAAAATAGCAAAATATATAGAAAAAAACTTTAGGGGGGGGGTGTGCAAATCGAAAGTTTGAGGGGGGGGGGTGTAAATCGAAAGTTTGAGGGGGGGGGGGGGTGTAAATAAAAAACTTGAGGGGGGTTGCAAATCGCAAGTTTGAGGGGGGTGGGGTGGGGTGCAAATCGAAAATTTGAAAGTTTGTCCCCGGGAAGGGTCGCTACGCCTCTGGGGGGGGGGGGTGACACCATTAAGTGTCGCACCGGGTGACACCCGACCTCGCTACGCCACTGCTTCTGATGCAGTGTATGTAGCACTTAGGTCAATGTAATACAGTCTGTACAATTTTAAAAATAAAAATGCAATCTTACTTTAGAGTTCAAATAACTTTTAGGTGACATTAACATGAAATAGTCACCAAGTTAAACCCCGGAAAATTTATAAGGGGCCTTAACCCTAGGTTGAAATTTTCATTGTGAATTATTTCCCCCATCAGATTGAATTAACGCCACGGCACGTAGCAAGGGAAATTATAAAATAAAGAAATACCAAGATTTAAAAAAGAAATCAAAGCATTTATATTAATGTCAAATTACACTACAGTAGGTGAGGGGGAAGGGGGGGGGGGGGGGGGGGGGTAAACCGATAAAGGGGGACAACTGTGATTTTTCCTGTGGGCCCTATTTTTTTCGGGTAGAGCGGCGGGCAGATCCACGCCTGACCACAAATGACACGACAATAAAGTAGAAGTGAAGTTTATTTAGCGTCAACTACTTCACATAGCTTTACAAATTAAAGTTCCCTTTCAAACCTGACGGTCTAGGACTAGTGAAGTACATTTCACTTGTTTCTGTGACCTCGGCATACAAATTACTCGGCCTTTAATAGCTTGTTTATATATTTAGTTTATATTTTTAATAACGTGTAAAATTTAGTGAAGTTCCTAGCTTATTTGTAAACCATATAGATCATGCACTGCTTCTAAACTTCGAGTTAAATGTGAAAGCCTCTTTTGTATCTATAAAAATAGTTTGCATTTATCTCGATCTTATTTATAAAAAGCGTGAGAATGATATTAAAACTTTTATATGATATTTCATTTTCAGGAATTATTTGCACGTTTTAAAGTATCAGATACATTGATAGTGTGAGTATTTTAGATCTTTTGTATAGCAATGCAGTTCCAAAGTATCGATTACTCGTGATAGTGTGAGTATTTTATATAGCAATGCAGTCCCAAAGATCTTGAGATACTAGCAAGTGTTTTTTTACTATGTGGTGTATCCAGAACTTATTAAAATGGCACGCAAGCCGCTGACTGTACTCAAATCTTTAGGAAGAAACTTGACCTATGATGTCACTGCCAATAATTATTAGACTGCTCCCTCCCCTGAGGCTCATATACTGCCCCCCCCCCCCCACACACACAAAGCAGGTATACCGTCCCTGCCCCATCCCCCGAATGAAAAAGAAATATATCTAGAAAATATAAACTTTAACCAATGTCGGACCGTCCGCCCCCCCCCTCTACCCCTGAAAATTTATTTCGTCACCCCCTCCCCCTTTGCCGTAGAAACCCAGAACCTAACGCTTAAAGAAATGGTACCTTCCTAGTCAGTAAAGATTTTAATTAATGATCTTAAGATAGTAAAAAAAACAACAGAACGACAATACCCCCCCCCCCACATGTTTTTTTATGTAAAACGTGTACACTCTACTCTATTATTACTTCACACAATGCAACTTCATGTTAAGGATTAATAGAACCGTAACAGCTGAGAAACGTAAACGTTGTGTAGGCTACACGTTAAATGGAAAAATTAAAGTACATCAGATTAGCCGTACCATGTTTAAAGTACATCAGATTAGCCGTACCATGTTTAAAGTACATCAGATTAGCCGTACCATGTTTAAAGTACATCAGATTAGCCGTACCATGTTTAAAGTACATCAGATTAGCCGTACCATGTTTAAAGTACATCAGATTAGCCGTACCATGTTTAAAGTACATCAGATTAGCCGTACCATGTTTAACTCTCTCTTGATGGCACTGGTCACGTGGACGCTGGTCTTCTGGATGAACTTGACGCTCCACACGCCCTCCACGTCCATCAGCACAACTGGACAGTGGTAGTGGTCAGGGTGGTCTAGCCGTGACGTCATACTTGTAGCACCGGAAGTGATGCTTTTTCTTGATAAAGCAGTCCGCATCTGATGAATATTAGTAAACGACTGTTAGTTATTTCAAAATACAAAGGCGCGGGCGAGTTCGATAATGGAGTAGAGTTTACCTGTTTCTGTTACCTCGGCAAATGAAGGGATAATGTGGTCAGCACTATGCCCAGCCGCCTTTACTTTACCTAACGTGAGTTAGGAGGTACCCATCAGAGCTGGGTGGACTCAGGGATGTTCTACTGACTTGAACACGGATTCGAACTCGTGATTTTAGCAGAGTAGCGATCTACCAGTAGGCCACGCCGTCCCATCAATCCATTAAACTCACGGTAAAATATTTTTAAAATATTTTTCCCTAACGTGTCCAAGAACTGTTACACTGCTAATTATAGGTAAAAGTTTGACTCCAATAGTTGATACAATTCTTTCTATTGTCCAAATCATGATAATTCCTCACCTACCAACGTGTACCGCCATACACTCGTAAGTTCAGCATGATTATTATTTGTGTAAATATTATCATCACATTTTACTGAATTCGTGTTTTAACAAATAACGTTTTTAGTCTATTAGCATCTGTCCAGCAAAAATCGATACCTAATCGATATCTGTGAGTTTCACCTACGCACATCTGCAAGGCAGGTGTAATCTTTTAATTTCGGCTTACCATTTCGTGTGGTGAAGTAATCTTTTAATTTCGGCTTACCATTTCGTGTGGTGAAGTAATCTTTAAATTTCGGCTTACCATTTCGTGTGGTGAAGTAATCTTTTAATTTCGGCTTACCATTTCGTGTGGGGAGTCTGATGGATCTACCAGCCTCGTTCTGATGTCCTTCCAGTGTATCAACCAGTCTGTGCACATCTCCTTTACAGATCTGGTACGGAAAATTCGGGTGTATAAATTTTTACTGATCTATGGCAGGGAGAATTCGGGACTTATATATTTTTGTCATGGAGAATTGGAAACTTTAAATCTTAACAGACCTATTGCAGGGATTCCGATTTTAATCTGAACTCAAACGTGGGGATTAAAACAAATTGGGGTTAAAATATAATCGGTTTAATGGAGACACTGAATCAAAACACAAACTTTAATGTGAGTTTCAATTAAAAACAAAATTTATTGTTTCAGTTTCTGTTAGAGTTTTGGCTTGGTCGCACTGCATCGCACCAGGGCATTTTTCTACCGGGGTCAGAATTAGGATTAGGATTAGCGTCGAGATAGAGATTAGTCTCTGTAATAGGTTTAGGGGTAGAATTAGGGCCTGTTTTATGAATTATATTAGTTATCGTAGTTCCATAAACATTGATTGGATCACTTCTTTCTTCTTCTTTGTTATTAATTTTTAATGTTGGAAAGGATTCCTTCCAACACAATTAAGTAGTAACTTGTTATGCGCCATATAGGCCGTTCATTCCGATTTCAGCCTGCTTTTCTTTTTGGATTTGCTTTCCAAACCAAGAATACGCTACATGGTAGCAGTTGATTAATGTCCCCAGCTACCGAGTCTCATCTACCCTAGGGTTCGAACTCGAGACTTTTCGGTTTAACAACCAGGAGCTTTACCGACTCGACCACGCCGATCACTAACTAAAACAACATTAATATAATGAAAAGTATGGGACTGACCAACCTCTTCCAGTAGAAAAACCCAAGTAGACCAACAACCATCAGCAGAAGTAGAGCCACGGTGCCAATAGTTGATCCCAGTGTGACCACAAAATGGCTGTCGTCTGGTAGTTTAAAATATACAATTAAGATTTAGGTTAGGAAAACAATGTTAAAATATGTAGCATACTGGTTAATATAACGTGTTGCAATGGTACAGTAATGATAGATACAACTTCATTATCAATAACAAAACCCTCAGTCCCCAGCTTCCGTCAACATCCCAGAATGCCATACGAACCCTTCAGGGGACAGAACTCGTTGTTCCAGCCGCACGCCTTCTTGCCAGACGGTGGCGTCCTTGACCCTCCTGGCCAGATCACGTGGTTGGGTAGAAACAGGGGCGACGACCAGCTGTGGACAAATACATACCAATCTAAAAAACATGTTTAATAGCTTGATTTGGGCTTGAGTCAATAGGACGTCCCTGAGCCCACTTAGCTTTAATGAGTACCGGACGCAAAAAATACCCTCTAAACTATTCTCAATAGCGCTCATCAAACATGATCAACCAAGAAGCTCACATGACGTATTTGACTGATGACTGAGAACCACAGATGGCTTACTTGACTGACGACCTAGCCACAGGAACATAGCAACCATCTTGTATGTTGTGGAGCATGAATTGACCTTTCCTTGACCCTGTTGCGTCGAGGTCAATGGGGTTTACCAAACCTGGGGGTAAAATGGTTATAGCAACTTGAGTTACGCTATTTAAATACAGTGACTTCAAAATGCGCGCATATGATCAACTACTTCACATTACAACATAATTATACAAATAATCCCATAGACATATTAAGAGTCGAAATATCCGTTGATTTTTGATTAGCTCATTCAAATAAAACTAGAGGAATATAGTAAATCTTTACGTAACCAAAGATAGGTCAACAATGAGAAAAGGAACCAGACAACATCGAAGTTTTTGTCACTAAATCACATGACACACATAAAAACTGATGTAATTAAAGTTGCTCTCGTTATCGTGTTATGAATATTTTGTTTATGTTAAATTAATCTGGAGTGATTTACCTTGAAAACTGTTGTTAAATAACACTTGCAAGGCGTTCGCAGTATTATGTGAAACTGGAAGAGACAAAAATATTTCTTTATTATATATATATATATATATATATATATATATATATATATATATATATATATATGTGTGTGTGTGTGTGTGTGTTTTAGTAGTGTGTACTAAACATACCCGACATGCCAGTCGCATAGTCTTGACTTAAGACAAAAGCTCCTTGAGTTAAGGGAATTCCCAGACTGAGACTTGTGTTGAAGGCAGTCGCCACTAAAAACATGGCGTCAGACAGCAGTAGTGGGTTGATGCCGTACTGGTGAAGTAAAGTATTGATCACTGACATAACTAGAACATCAAGACCGCGGTCAGTAGTACATTTTTGACAACTAAGTTTCTATGGTTGATACTAAACCTTAGAAGGAGCCAAACTAAAATAATTAATTAAGACCTGGTAATTAGGACATCCATGACTGACGTTAACTTCCGGTAGGATACTGGCCAGGAAGTTCTTGAACTCTGGACGCTCTGGAACTACGTCATAAGTGATGTCCATCATACCTAAAGTATAATTAATTTTTATTAAAGCTTAACTTATAGTATTAAAAAATGCATAAAAACGTTAACAAGCTTTTATGTAATAATACACCAAAAAGGAGAAAATAAATGATTTATAAATACTATAATTCACTACTATTTAAATAACTATAAAGAAAAGCGCGGGTCTCTTCCTAATATTAGTAAAGGTATCCAATAGATAACCTGGTGACCCACGTTTTCTGTATAGCTATTAAAATAGTTGTGTATTATTATATATTTAAAGAAAATCATTTATTTTCTACTTTTTAGTGCATTATAACATAAAAGCTTGTTACTAAAATGTTTTTATGCACTTTTTTCAGTACATTAAATTTTTTGTTTACAATAGAGTTTCATGACAATACTGCACTATTATTCGCGCACTATCATGTTAATTTGTTGCGCAATAGTGCGGAATAGTAGTAAAAGGCAGCCTACTAATTTCAGAAAATAATAATTAATTTATTAAAAAATATATAGCCATTTAATTAATTCAAATTTGATGTCAGATATTGATCCACGTGCCGAATTTTAGAGAAATTCAACAGTTAAAAGTGGCCAAAATTTCGCTCGTTCGTTTTGATCCAGACAGATAGACAAAAAGACAGAGGAAGCAGTTTAAAAAAAAAGCTTGTAATAAAAGCTTAAAATAAAACCGTTTAAAAATTAATAAAAACACGTAAGCATTGTAATATTCATGAGTAATACATAAACACACATACATACACATGCATATATGATGTAAATGATTTAGGTAGGGTAGCAAAGTAGTGCTATACAAATTGTGGAACCATAAGTGAAACCTATTAAAGTGTTGATGTAAATCCAGCGTACATTTAACTTAATTATTCACAAATGGCTCATTCGTTCCACTGGCGATTTCAATTATTTTTCCTTTTCTGTTTGTTGTTTTAGCATGGTAGAGAACAGCTTTACACAAACCTCAAGCTCAATAGCTATTTGGATGGTGCGCGTATGTTAGCGACCGATAGAGTAATTTCCCTTTGCATTTTCTGCATCGTCCAATGAAACCTCATTATGACATCAACTTATCGGGTTTTAGAATAAAACGACGTGTTTTTAAACCCAGGGTCAACTACGTGACCGTCACAGCGGTCACATCTAGTCACGTCTACGTGACGTATCAATGTCAAGGATGTTCTGGACTTTTTCCTCATGGTAACCTTCACCTTGGCTATGTACACAACCCAGACAGGAAGCTGCCCCGTAGACATGCTTTTAAAACTGCACTCGATTTCATGCGGGTAGTTTACATTAACATCCTTCTGTAATTAGAGTTGTCTACCCTTCGTTGTAGTACATTTACTTAACGCCCTTTGAGAGTGTGTTAAAATAATACTGAATGGCTCGAATTTTACCATATTTGTTTTTATTTAAACTAAACGTTTAGGAATGTATTTTTAAAAAATGCATAAAAATGTTTTAATAACAAGTTGTTATATAATTCAGCACTAAAATGGAAAATCATAAATGATTTTCTTTAAATATACAATAATACACTACTATTTAACTAGTTGCACAAAAAAGCGTAGGTTTATCTGTTGAATACCTTTACTAAAATTTTAGAAGCGACCCATACTCCGCGTTATGTACTTTTATAAGGTGCGAACTCACCGTTTAGAAAGGTGGCCTTCATCAGCTCGCTTTGGTTGTGTGTCCCGGCAAAGTCAATGGCCACAAAGGCGTTGTCGCCATTGGTCAGTTTCGCTTGGTGGGCTCGTCTCATGAACTCCATCACGGCGTCAGGGTACATCAGCATGACGTAGACTGATGGGATAACATTGTACATATATATATATATATATATATATATATATATATATATATATATATATATATATATATATATATATATATATATATATATATATGTATATACCTCTAGTGTTAAAAATATCTATCAAGTGTCCACTAAAGTCTATAATGATGTACCTATACCCACTTCTCACCTACCTGTGCCCACCTCTGATATACCTACAGCCACCTCTGATATACCTGCCCCCACCTCTGATATACCTACAGCCACCTCTGATATACCTACACCCACCCCTGATATACCTACACCCACCTCTAGTATTGAGCACCTCCTCCATCAAGTGTCCACTAAAGTCTGTAGTATTGATGTAGTCCACACTAAACAAAGCCAGACGTCTGACCGTCACGCCCATCTCACTCAGGGAGTCCTGTGTACACGGATGATAAAACTTTGGTACACTCGACACATTTATTTATTCTACCTGTACCCACCTACCTGTACACGGAAGATAAAACTTTGGTACAGTCAACACATCTATTTATACCAATACATTTAACTCCTTTACACGCGGTTATATTAGAGAATAATTTCTTGTTCATTCTGATCGTCCAAAGCGTACATAAGAAATTTAGCTGCAAGTAAATACATCTATTGTAAATCACATATTGTCCTGTGTATCCCTCCAATGTTCGTACACCATTCTTGTTTACAAGACTTCATGCGGCGGACTTATACGTGATATTTGTTGGAGAAGGTTGTTTTCCCGAATGGGACACATATCCAAATGGACACTTGCCCGAATGTGACAAATATCCGAATGGACACTTGCCCGAACATTTCGGGAATAAAGAAACGAATCTTTGATGCTAATATAAACTCAGAATTGCTGTATGGAGATGAAATGTGGATATTAACCATCCTCAAAATTACGTCACTGACCGCCTACCAATATCAGACGGGTCCTAGAATGGAACCCTTAAGTCAAACGGAAGAAAGCCCGACACAATCTTATTTTACGTCATGATCTTAAGGCAGACACCATCGGGTTAGGTCTAATCTAGCATCAGTCAGAGGCAATGGTCCATGACAGAGCACTGAACTAAATTAGCGACCGATGATGAAATACCCAGAAAACATTGCCTCCTCGGGCGTACCAAACTCAACCCCCCCCCCATCAAAATCCTAGTTCTAGCATTCTAGCTATTGTTTATACAAGTAACATTGTTTTAAAGTACATTATCCGTTAGTTTGAAAACACATCTAGCAAGCATATTTACAAACAAGTAAAGAGTATTTATTCGTCCAGTCTATCCGTAGATATAAAAGAAAAAAAAAGCCCCAGTCGCCACCCCCTTCCCCCACTTTCTTTTTCTTACCTTCGAATAAGTCATGCTTATGTATTAACACGGATTTAAACCTTCTGTATTGAACTCGCTAATTAGAATACGTTCTAATTAAACCTCCGACGCCTTCGATTATTTCCCTTATTTGGCTGCTCATCTTTTGTAATTAAAAGTGCAAGGAGATTAAAGATCATCATACCGCGCGGTCCTGTTTTAATGAAAAATTAACAGCACGACAAATAATCCTACTTCTGAACGAATCACATACTAGTTGTTTGTAATGGCATTCTCTGCTGGACTACTGGCAGTTGTAAAATTTTATGTGGCAGCCTAGTTATGTGAATCCATACAACGTTCACGTGACTACTACATACTTAATATATTGATTTTTTTTCATACATTTTTAATGCCAGAGTGGATGACGTAGGAAAACCACTGCAGCTACATCCAAATACAACTTCTGATTAATTTATTTTAACGGTTGATTTAATGGGCGCGTTTAGCGCGGGTGGCGATAAACAGTGTTTCTTCCAGACTTTTTTCTCCGGGGGGGGGGGGCACTTGAAATCATCGGGGGGGGGGCGGTAAACTTTCTTCGGGGGGGCGGACACTGTTAAAAGTATATATTTTCTATATAAATTATATAAATTTCATTTCGTTCGGGGGGGGGGGGGGGGGGGGCGGTAAAAATTTTTCGGGGGGGCAAAGCCCCCCCGAAGAGATGCCTGGAAGAAACTCTGGCGATAAACGTCTGCCAACATTAAGATTGTTCATGTTGGTAGACATGATGTTTTAGCCGTTAATATTTGGAAGACATCAGGTGGCTAAATGTTTTTAAGACAGAATCCTGACCTTGACCCAAATCCTAACATTGACCCAAATCCTAACATTGAACCAAATCCTAACATTGACCCAAATCCTAACCTTGACCATAATCCTAACATTGACCCAAATCCTAACATTGACCCTAATCCGAACCTTGACCCAAATCCTAACCTTGACCCAAAATCCTAACATTGACCAAATCCTAACATTGACCAAATCCTAACATTGACCCAAATCCTAACATTGACCCAAATCCTAACCTTGACCAAATCCTAATATTAACCCAAATCCTAACTTTGACCCAAATCATAACATTGACCCAAATCCTTAGACCCAAATCCTAACATTGACCCAAATCCTAACTTTGACCCAAATCATAACATTGACCCAAATCCTAACTTAGACCCAAATCCTAACTTTGACACAAAACCTAACATTGACCAAAAACCTAATATTGACCCAAAACCTAACATTGACCCAAATCCTAACATTGACCCAAATCCTAACTTAGACCCAAATCTTAACATTGACCTAAATCCTAACTTTGACCCAAATCCTAACCTTGACCCAAATCCTAACATTGACCCAAATCCTAACATTGACCCAAATCCTAACCTTGACCCAAATCCTAACATTTACGCAAAGAAGCTTCCGTCAGAAAAAATCCCAACAATCGAAGCTATACTATGTTGATCTAAAAGCCATTTGATAAGAACCAAATAAAGGTCTACCATCTTCTATTTGATCAGTACACTTAAACTGGGATCTCTACAACACAGTGCTGTTAGAAAGGTCTACCATCTTCTATTTGACCAGTACACTTAAACATGGTAATCTACAACACAGTGCTGTCTTGAAGAGCGATGTCATGAAAAACTGACCTCGAACTCGGTAGCTGTTTCCTGCCAGACTGGCGTTGCCATGGTAACCAGCGTCACCCGGTCCCAGTTGTAATAGTTCAAGATGGCGCCGAGAAAATATTTCAGAGTTGCGTAACTTGGAATGCTTCGTCCGAATGTGGGGTACTAAAAGCGATATAAATGTAAAGTGTTTGTTTACAAAAATATATCTAAAATATATCTAACTAAAGTTTTGTATTTGATAAATAAAAGTTTTTAGGGATTCTTTTATAAGTTACAGTTTGTTCTAGTCTATTTTAGTCGTTTTGGTCAAGTATGTTTTGGTCAAGTCTGTTTTGGTCAAGTCTGTTTTGATCAAGTCTGTTTTGGTCAAGTCTCTTTT